TTAAGGGTGTGTTCGTTTGGAGTGATTTGGAGGAGATGATTTGGGGGAGATGATTTGAATGGATTTGAGTGGATTTGAGGGTAATTTTTTTGTTGTTTTTTTGAGTGGATTTGTGGGTAATTGAGAGTGGATTTGGAAGTAAAGTTTGTGAAAATTAGTGTAGGATTTGATTGATGTGATAGATTTTAAAAATTAGTTTAATTGATATAAATTGAAGATTACCAAAATGTCCCTAGTTATAAAATGTTATTTATAAATGTTATATTTAATTGTAAAAATGTTTATAAAGAAAAAAAAATTATGAATAATTTATAAAATTAATGTTTAAAAATTTAAAAAACTAAGTAATCAATTTTTTTTAATAAATTAGAATACTAAATAATCAATTTATTAAAAATAAATTAGAAAATATAATAATCAATTTATTAAAAATAAATTAGAAAATATAGTAATCAATTTATTAAAAAAAATTAGAAAATATAATAATCAATTTATTAAAAATAAATTAAAAAATATAATATATCTAATTTTATTAATATTAAAATAATTATAAAAAAACTTGAAAAAAAATAGGAAATCGCGTAACCGGTTACGCGAACGCGTAACCGGTTACGCGAACTCGTAACCGGTTACGCGAACTCGTAACCTGTTACGCGAACGTGTAACCGGTTACGCGAACTCGTAACTGGTTACGCGAACGCGTAACCTGTTACGCGAACGCGTAACCGGTTACGCGAACATGTAACCGGTTACGCGTTTCTAGCGTTTCTTAACCGAGGGCACACGCGACATTTCGCTCACAATCCGCGCAAATCTCTTCACAACTGCGAGTGACTGAACAGTGCAACCATCCCGCATTTCATCGCAAATCCGTCCGCGCATTTCACTCCAAACGAACGCATAACGAGCTGAATTCTTCGCTCGCAAATTCGCATGAACAGTAAATTCCGTTCATGCGAACACAGCCTTAAGGCCAGGTTTTATAACTTTTAAAATAGCCATTACAAAAAATCAGTACGATTTCTTCTGTAACCCTTTGGAATTGAATGATAATAAAAAAAACAACTCTATAGTAGGTGCACGCATTTTTTTTTTTTGTTAAATTTAAAATTACTTTTCTTAGAATCAAAATGGTTTTGTAAGAAATTGTATCTGTATATATTTTGTAGAACAGATAAAAATAAAAGTATATAATAATATTTTTAACATTATAAATTATAGTATTAGTTCCAGGTAGAAGTGACATGAGTTTTTCTCACGTTTGTTATTTGTCATATTTTAAGAAAAACAAATCTATTACTATTAATTACGTTTTAAAAGTTGTAAATGGTATAATTGTTATTTTCTATATTATAATCTCGGTCAACAAAGAAAGAGCAATAATAAACACAAAAAGAAGTAAAGGCAATAAATAAAAATAAAAAATATTAGTTTTACAAATAACTTTTTTAATGTTTAATATTTTTTAATTGTATATAATAAACTATCTCAAAAATAATAAATAAACATAATTGTAATGGGTTGATAAATTATAGTGTTTACAAAACTTTAACTCATTTTAAATAAAGAAACTGATTAATTTTTTAATATAAATATTATAATCTTAAATGGCCTAATAATAAAAAAAAGGGATAAACACTGAAGACTATTGTCCAACATCGAGCTGTAACGGAAAGAGATATTTGGCAAAAGATAGAGATTTTGAGGTGTGAAGAAGAACAGGGAAGAAGAGTGCAAAACACGATGTGGGGCTCGGGAAATAATTTATTATCCCAAGTTTGACTTTAACCCCTATTTGTTTTCAACTTAGAAAATCATTTTACTACTGTTTTAACAGCAAAAGTGTAAAACGCACGTCTTAATTAATAAACTAAAACTAAATTCTACTTAAAAGTTAAACCTACCACGGACTTCCAATACCAATGCATTCATACTAACCAAACCAATAATTTATCAATGTGTTTTCAAAGTTTGGCTATGGCATTGAATTTGTGAAGTATTTGAGCATGAAGTTGGTTAGGATTAGGAAGTGGGGGGGCCTGTCTTAGGAAAAGTTTGAAAAAGAGTGAGAGGAGATTGATTAGTAAACAGAAGAAGAAGACCACATGACATGACATGCCAAAATGTGCTTGTTTCCTTCC